CTACCGCACATACGTTTTTGATTACAGGCTCTGAAGACGGTGTTGCCGCCGAAACGTCAGCCAATTAATAAACTGTGCGTACCCATCTTGGCCGCCGTTTGAACATCAAATCGACAAATGACAATGTCGTTTGCCGCTACTCCTTTTTGGATCAGCGTGGTAATTAGGAACTCGCATACCATCCTCTCCACTTCGTTGTAGTACGAATGCGAGACGGATTGCATTGACGTTTTTGACGTTCACAAACATGAACGGCAAGTGGGGATTTGAGAAATCCATGATGTTCAGTAGTAGGTGTCTGTCCGCTGCGGTTACACTGATCAAGGAAGCCCTCACAGCACAATGTGTTGGAAAGGTCGATGTGCTGGATGCGCTCGGAAGGTGGTGACGAGTCTACGCACTGAAACGGCTCGCGCTTTTCAAAGGACGCTCATGAGACTTTGCGTTCCGAGTCTGGAGTGGTTGGCCAAGCCAGAGCAGCGAGCGTAGAGCTTTAGTTGATGGATGTCCCCAATGTAAACGTGCCTAGCCTTCGGAACTCGCGCCGTCATTGTCATAAATACCGGTCCTGGGACTTCCAAAGCTCCTGCGTTGCATGTGATAAGGTCGAACTTGCTAAGGTAGCCCTTGAAGAGTCCATCCTTGTCTGTTGTATTGAGTAAAGATAATGTTGTAATGCACACAATCTTGGGATCCATACGACGCAACATAATGTCAACCATCTCCTGCAAGTTCCAAGAAACTTCCTTTTCCGCTAGCATGAAGCCTTTTCTTTCTTGATCCTTTAAGTTGGTATGTCGTTCCCTCCTATACCTTTCGTAACGTATTCATCCTTGTGTGAAGATCCGGCACGTCTCTCTCTTGTTGTGAGCTGTTGATGGAACACCGTTCCTACTATTTTCAAGATATTTCAGGGAGATCGACGGTTGTCGGCGCGTCCGGGTCGAAAGCGATGGCTTCTGCTAAAAAGTGAGTGATCCCAACCTGCTGCGCCTCCTCAAATCCGAGAATGGTGTTGGTGAATGAGTTACGGCAGTATTGGTGGAAAGGTGATGATGACTCGTTGCCCAGCGATCGCTTGACGTATGGCCGCGCAGGCACCAACGACCGTTTTCAGTCCCGCGGCCTGCATCGCTATTAGTGGAATTTGCTGTTCCCTAGTATTAGGTTGGTGCAAAAGTAATGCGCGTCTTTCTAGTCC